GGGTTATGAGAAATTCATGATTGTTTTTCAAGGGAAAAAAAAAACAAAATAAAACATTGGAAAATGTTAAAAGTGTTTGTGCGTTCGGAAATCTTTGTACGGATAGATGGAGAGTTTTTTGATACTTGTTAGGAAAAGATTTGTGGATAGGGAGAAGGATGTGGTCGATCCCATTGTTGACATCTAATAATATAGCATGCATGCATCATAAATTATTATTTGAAGTAATGGATATCATCGATGGATCGGATACTCTATAGATGCAAATGGTAAATCACTAAACCATGCACTTATTAGATTTTTTGTTTAGTTTAATAAAAATGGAAAGCTAAGAGGCCAGCCACGAATTAAGTGGACTCTCTCATCAGGCCATTAATCCAATCAACCCTACATATTCTACCTCCTTCTATTTTTTCTTTTCAATAATGAATTGTGTGTTGTGTGTGTATATATATATATAGGGAAAGGTTCAGGTGCGGGTATAGGTTTCTCGTGCGATTGGCGTACCTTAAAGCATTAAAATGACGCACCTTAAGTATACAAATCACGCAGCACACAAACAAAACGACACAAACCATTCACCTTAAATACGACACAAACCACGCACCGTATACACACATACAACAAAGCACCTTAAGAACACAAAACATGCGCCTAAGGTTTTAAAATGGCTCACAAGTTTCACACAACTGACGCACCTGAAGCATACAAATTACGCACTTTAAGAAGGAAAACCACGCACCTTAAGTTTCAACAACTACTCACATTAAGCACAAAACTCACGCACCTTAAGTTTTGACAACTACTCACATTAAGCACACAACCCTATTGTTTTATTTAGAATATTAAAAAATGTGTAATAATATTAAAAATAATGTTATTTATTTTATTTAAAAAAAACATATGGTTTCCGTGCGTAAACCAGACCTATGCCGGAAATCAAGGTTGTGATTGTTGTCGAAACGATTGTGGTCGAAAATCATTTTTTGGTCTGTGGAAAATAACTTCCATCAATTCAAATTTTGGCAGAAGTCATTTTCCTCCAAAACAATCATATTTTTCCAAGTCAACAACAAATGATTTTCGTTGACTTAATTTTTCAGACACATCAAATCATTGAAAACTCAAAAAATTATTTCCTCTGAATTTCCAAAGACACCCTTAGTTTAGTCTAAAATTATTTCCTTCTAAACTCCTAGGATAATCCACCCAAAAGTTGTATATATCATATATGCCAAATAATAGATAGAAAGCAAAGATGCTAAGCAAAAGTAGTTTGTGGGATCGAGTTAATTTTGGTAGAGCCACCTACATATATGATCCAGACCAGCACAAAGGATAAGAAGCACAATCCAATAATTCATTGCTGATTTCAGAATGTCGGACCTTGTTGAACAAAAACCTCATTGAAATTAAAGCAGAATTGAAAACAATACAAATGAAGAAAAAATAAGTGTGCAACTTTTTTTTTTTTTTTGATAAATTTGAATCATAAGATGAATATTGATGTTACGATTGAAGATGATTTATGATAATATAATGATTATTTATAAGGGTCTTAAGTTTTTACGTCATTTTTTCAAGTTATAATCGGTACCAATAAATAGCTAGCTTAATTGTTGGACTTTAGACCCACTATGTCTTGCTTAAGCAATTTAACTATATATGATAACAATGATATGAAAATGGTAGGAGTAATCCCAGTCAAGTTGGTTAGATCAGATATTTAATTTGGTTCCCGTGACAGCTGTTTATTGATCTTCTTAATTTAAGTCAGACAGTTATAGACAACCTAAACTGTTTTACCATCGACCTGATAGTCTTTGACTTTCACCCAGATGTGAAAATTGAGTCTTAGAATATACTCGGTACTACTTTAGAATCTTAGTTTGTAGTTGCGTATAACTAAGCCTCTCAACATAATTGGATAGGGTGATACCAAAAGGAAAGAGAATGATAACAAACCATCAGGCACTTACAACTACAGAAAAAGGAGTACTAAAAATGGACTCCACTGCGCATTCCCACTCCTCCACTATACGTGACGTTTCAACTTATAGGAGGTGGCCATGGAATAAAGGTAAGCCTATTCATATCCGAGATGGCAATGAGTCAGATAATATTAGTACCAAATTCTCTAAAGTCTGATAGGATAGATTCAAATGGTTGATAATTGAGTCTGAAACAGGTTGTCATGAGTTATTTTCGCATTCTGAAATCATATTTGTATTTCTATGTAGTTTTATGTCAACAAGAACCCTACTCGTACCGATTGTCCTTTGTTCATGGTCCAAGAATGGATAACCTTGTTACATTGGATTTTGCCTTGTTTCCTTGAGTTCTAATTGTTAATCTAATTTGTGTTACATGCCAAGTTAAAATATGAGACACATAATAAGTTAAAGGGAAAATTGCATCTTTAGTCCCTGAGTTATAACTAAGTTTCGACTCAGTCCCTAAGTTATGGCAGTATTCGAGTTTAATCCCTCAGTTATGAGCAAAGTGGTGAGTTTGGTCCCTAGCATTAATATTCTGTCTGTAGCTAACAGAAAACTTAAAAATAACTTAATAATAGAGGGTTAAAAAAGGAATTTCAAATTATAATCCTCTTCTTATGTTAAAACTCATTGCGCAACCGTCATTATTTTCTTCTTATATCTAACGGAAGTGGGAGATTTCAGAGCTTGGGGAAGAAAAAAACCTTCAATTATAGGTATAATAAGAAGAAAAAAATGACTGTTGCACAACGAGTTTCAACATAAAAAGATGATTATAATTTGAAATTTCTATTTTACCCCTCTATTATTAAATTATTTTTAAGTTTTCCATTAGCTATAGATAGAATATTAACGCTAGGGACCAAACTCGCCACTTTATTCATAACTGAGGGACTAAACTCGAAAACGACCATAACTTAAGGAATGAGTCGGAACTTGGTTATAACTTAGGGACTAAAAATACAATTTCCCTAAGTTAAATTACTTAATGAATAATGCCTTTAAATTTCACTATGAAACTTCACCCTCCAAGATTGACTCATAAAGCTCAAACGAGGATGAGATCATATCAAAATTATCGTTGCAGTTATGAGCAAGTTAGCACTTAACACGAAAACAAAACAGAAAAATACCTAAAACTTTAAAAAAACAAAAGCAAAACAAAAAAAACAAAACAAAAAAGACATACAAACATGTATATATGTATAGGAGGGAAACTTTGGAAGAATGACCAGGGATCGAGTCTTACCAGCCGCAGTGTGGGAGCAATCTCTCAAAGTGAGGGGGCTTCTTGTGCGCAGTGAGCACCGGTCTAGTCTCTATAATTCATGATTAGTTGAGTCACCATGATTTACATCTTCCCAAATGCTCTGTCGGGCCGGGGTGTGGGGGCCCTTAGGGTTGGGTTCAGCCTTTTAGAATAATGTATAGGAGGGAAAGGCTAACTCATAGAGCCCGAATACTCGTATCTCGATCAAAATCATCGCCCTACTTATAAGAAGAAGAAAACGCAAGAGAAATATACAATTATGTGTATTTGTAAATATATATTTTCTTTTAATATACATAAATATTAAGGAAACAATCTCAAAATGTGGTGTTAAAGTTTGTGTGTATCACAGCTTATGAGCAGTAAAGTTGATTCTGTTGGCGCAAACTAAAACTACAAAACTTTATTTGTCAACTTGCATGCATCAATCATTAGCAGTACGAACGCAACAACAAAACCTAATTATTATCCCAAAAATTTAAAAACAAAAAAATCAGCATCAATGATGTCAAGAAGGAGGACAAAATTTTGCAGATGCAAGCAAGCATCACTAGTCACTAGATGAATGATTGAAGGGTTGATTCTGAATAAAATATTTGAGCAGAATCTGTGATGAATTTTGATCCAACTTCCTTCAGAATGGATAGTTGAATTTTGCACCGGGCGGTTCTCAGACAAGAAACCAGACATCATATCATCCAAACACCAAGGAAGAATTCTCGATCAAGATCAGCTTCGGTGAATCCATAAGAAGCAAGGTCTAAATCATCTGGTATTTGCCGCTCCTCCAAATTCAATGGGTCCAATTTAGCTTTCATGTGACCATTAACCTGGTAAGCTCTTGCAAGCAACAGCAACCGCATACCTTTCTTGAATCGTTTGCCCAGAAACCCCCGCGGATGCAGAAGCCTGACCAACAAAGTTTCTGAAGAAGTTGTCCTATGACTCATCAACACTATTTGGATCTTGCTCCCAAGCTCGTTGAAGCTCCTCACGGGTATAGTATTTGGTTGGAGGAGAGAATTACATGGGAAATGAATTACTGAGAATAAAATGAAAATTTACAGGAATAAAATTACTGCGAATTTCAATTGCAATGTTTGGTATACATAGAAATTGAAAGGGAATAAGTAGAATAACGTCCAATGAAACACGGCTATACTTTCTAGAAGCATGTATTTGGTACACCAAATCTTTTCTTAGTTTTGAGACAAATATTTAAACTAATGGAGAGTTTTACAATATATTATAATAACTTCTCGGTTTGATGAATACTCCATCCATCTCGAATTGGTTGTCTCGTTTGGTTTTTGCACACTTTTTAAAGAATTAAAGTAAATACTATGTGTTTTCCAATTATGCCCATCACTTTTCTCACTTCTGGAAATAAAAGCAATAAAAAAAAAAACAAAAGTCATAAGGGTAATTTAGAAAACATAGAATGATGATGATCTTCAATTTTAAAAAGAGGACAACACAAAATAAAAAGGAAAGTAAGTCAATTAAAATGGGACAGGGGGAGTATTTGATTATTTGACAATGCTGTTTAACTAGAAAAAGTATCCCGTCCATGTGAGAATTGAGATATATTTATTTTCATTAATATTAATTCAAAAAAAAAAAAAAAAAAATTCTAGACTCGTCAACCACTGCATGAGGCAAATTAAGGCTCAGGCAGCTAGCCAATGAAAATTTGAGCCTATCTTAGGAACAAGAAAAAAAGTGTTTGAACGTAACTCAAAACACTGGAAAATTTATTTACAGATATAAGAGCACCAAATTCGTAAACATGTTATCTTACACACAAGAAGTAAATATTGTATTGTTGGAATTACATGTTCTTTGTTCTTTCTACATAAAAACAATGGATAATGCCAATGATAAAAGCAAGGGCAGCTAGGAAATGAGCAAAACAGTCAGACAACATAATTGACACAACAATCTCCACACATAAAATGGTAAAAGAATGGAAGGGCGCTTAAGCATGGACAGCCAGATTTCATCGCAATCAATTTATAAGCCAAGCGCTAGAACTACCCATCTGAATGGCCTCATATGATTAGGCACAGCAAGCTGACTTTGCTGCTGGCTGGCCGGCAGCTCCCTGGTCTCCTTGGTTAATCTTGATTGCCTGCGGCTGCAACCACCAAGTTTATGGCGTCACTTTTAGATTATAGAAGTAATAACCGAACATTGTAGAATGCTTAAGAGTTCTCTCTCTCATTTCAATGAGAAAGTAGAAAATAGTGGAAAAGATAATGTACCTCAGCCTTGTTATCAGATTCAGAGAGCCTGTGCTTAATATCTCTTGCAATTGAAAAGAAAACCTCCTCCACATTCATGTTTGTTTTTGCACTCTGCAGCAATTTACATCTAAAGGCTACAAAAAGAACTAACTCAAATTGAACTTATGTTCAGTAGATTAGATGGATTGAACTTACAGTTTCAAAGAACTTGATCCCATACTCATCAGCAAGAGCTTGACCCTTAGAGGTTGGCACAGCCTAATATGATGAAAGAGTGTATCAGTGTTTTCATTCACTTATGCATTAATACGAAAATGCTAATCAAGTAGCAAAACTTGAGCAATGGTTTGTTTCCAACACAGTTTATACAAGGAAATGCACATGTTTAATTGGAATTAGTGTATTTTAAAGCAGTAGTGACAAATCTACAATTTAACCAGATTCTGAATAAAGGTTTTCATGAGGCCTTATATCTGTTATTACAATCACCTACCCTTTTGCTTTCATCCATATCAGCCTTGTTCCCAACCAAAACCTTGTTGACATTATCAGAAGCATGTTGCTCTATGTTGCGGATCCAGTTCCTGATGTCTGAAAATACCAATTAAAGATTTTTTTAAAAAACAGTGTTGGCATGAAGATGGTGAAGCAGTAAATCCAGGTTACAAGTTTGAAATGAAAATAAGAGAATAGAAGATGGTAGTGATAGAAAATACTGTTGAAAGATGATTCATCTGTGACATCATACACTAGCAGAATACCCATGGCTCCTCGATAATATGCTGCCATAAAACAAAGCAAATTTAAGCTAAACATCATAAATTAGACTTAAAAAAATCATGTTCGTTCACTGAGTTTATGAGATACAAACTTGCCGAGGTGGATAGGCTGGACGGAAGAGCATGCCTGTGAAGACAGTGGCTCCTTATGGAATAGACAAAGATAAGAGTCACAAGTTCAACATCAAGATCTACAAGATTCATGCTAAAATAGCTACATCCCTTGGCCCCTTGGAGCAGCAGTTAAAGAGTCCAATTTCAATGAAAAACAATTAATGGAAATTGCATATTTAATCCCTTCCACCCATATGCTGAAAACTACATAAGAAGAAGAATGTTAAATTAAACTTGGTTAATTTTATAGAATGAAGCCAATCCATGTACCTGTAGTGATAGTCCTGAACCGCTCTTGACCAGCAGTATCCCAAATTTGCAACTTGATGCGCTTTCCATCAAGTTCAATTGTTCTTATCTTAAAGTCAATACTATAAAGAGAGAAGGGAAAGACATGTAAGGATAAACCAATAAAATAAAAATAAAAAAGGAGAGCAAATCATCAAAGAGAATTTAATTCTGAAATTAGGAATAGAAGACCTAATTCTAATCACATATAAAAACATTCATTCAAAGTTATTTTTAAATTAAGTTCCTCTATGTTGCCAATAGTGGTGCATGAGTTAATTCCAAATCAACTCAACTCCACAAACAATAAGAAGTATCCTTTACCCCAATACGAAATGTGAATCACTTAAAAAATGCGCAAGCATCATATTATAGCTACCAAAAGTTTCACATGTTCAAGTACTAAACCTCTCATATTCTAATGACCATTCCAAAGGAAAATGGTAAAGACATACCCAATTGTGGTAATGAAACTTGTTGTGAAGGAACCATCTGAGAACCGCAGAAGCAAACAACTCTTCCCCACACCTTCAAACACATCCAGATAATATGCCACACATTAGCAATTTAGCATATCAGATGAACTCCTTCCTTATCTAATCAACCACTCAAATCAGGAGCAACTAGCTAAACATGATCATCTTGGGCATTTACATATTTACACTATTTCTGACACAAAACTCAATAGCATTGGGTCACTAATGGGAGCTAGCACAAAAGGGGGAAAAAAACACATAAGATTCTAGGAAAATAGAAGTTTTACAAAATACATAACCTACATTTTAAATACAGGCACACAGACTTATCCTATCAGAATTAGGCGCGTCATTGTAATACATAATCCGAAAAAACACCATTGCCGACAATAAATTAGCTCAGACATATCAAATAATCGATTCGCTATTGACGGCACAGGACGAATGCCATAAAACAACCAGCGATTATCATCAGATTCAAAGACGTAACTGCAATTTCATTTCACATTATGAAATATATATAAGAAATGTGAACGGAAGAAGAAAACAAACCGCTATCGCCAATGAGAAGCAGTTTTATAAGAAAATCATAATCCGCCCTAGCCCTAGCTGGAGCCGCCATCCTCTCTTTCTACGATATATATAATCAACAATGCAAAACCCTAGCAATTCGTGTCTGCAACACCGCAGCGCATAGCATCAGCAATGATTATCACAATGAGAGGCTCCGTGTTACGGAATCAGAGGTAAAAAGCCATAAAATGAGTTCGATTTGAACAACAGATTCAACAAATGCATAGAAATGAAGGCGTCCATAAAAGATATTGCCGGTTAGAGAGGTGGTTTACCTGGGTGTGGTGGTCCGCACTGCGCAGGCTACCAAGGAATCAAGGATTAACGCTCTGTCTTCAATACGTGTCAATGCGCATCTTAATTTCATATAATTTTTTTAATTAATGTATTTAAACGTATATTTTTATTCTTCCACTCCATTTATTGATACAACCTTTTTTTTCTACTTTTATTATTGATTATATTAAAAAGGTGGACTATTGGAAAAATAATTTTGTTAAGTATCTATGTTTTAAATTTTATATTTTATTAATTAATTAATTAGTGAATACTATTATTAATTAATTAATTAATAATAAAATAAGAAAATATTCAGAATAACAATAACTCACTGAGCTTAAGGAGTTAAGGGACAATGACTATTAAAAATAATTTTTTTCATTATTTCTACCTTCTGCTTCACTAAGAGAAATGAATAGTTCTATAATAACTCTGTATTTTTTAAAATTGATACAGACCGATTTTTTTTTTCTATTACAATGTAGTATCTATTCACGGAGGCTCAAACTCACAATCTCTCATATAGGAGTCCAACCCCGGGTACCATCTGAGCACAAGATGTTTGGCACACATCTCACATATATATATATATATATATATATATTAACACGACATTTGTACTGCCTTTTCATTGTATGTGTAGTAATTTTAGTAGAAAACATCATTTTCATTATTTTTAATATTAATATCGGGTCAAATTTGGTGAAATAGACCAAATAAAAGGTCTGCAATGAGTAAGAACTAAGAAGGGGTAAAAAGTAAAATGTGATTCAACAATCAACACAAACCGATGTACTTGTCTAGTACTATCTGCTAAACATATTAGTCAGCAAGAACAACATTGTTCCAAAAAAACAGTAAGGGCAACAAAATCTGGGTACACTTTTGAGTAATATAAAATCCAAATCGAACACAACAAAACAAGTCTAATAAAAGAAACCAAGGACTTTTCCTCCAACATTCTTGCGCCTTGCTTCCTCATGGTCCATGATTCCGGCAGAAGTAGTAAGCACAATATAGCCGAACTGCAAGTTAAAACAGATGAAATTTTAAAGGGAGAAAACAAAATGTAAGAAAACATACAGGTGATGATAACTCATGGGCAGAGGAATTTAGAAGGAATAAATTTCATTAGATATGTACTTCTCATGGCCAGTCCCAAGAGGTAATAGCTGAGACAGCTCCCCAAGGCGACAGGATATGAGATTGCCCCCTTTGGACAAGCAGGAGTCTCTCATTTACATGAGTGCCTCAACTGCTGACATCAACAAAAAGAGCTTTATTATGTGACAAGTGCTAAACTTGAGTCTTGCGAGCATTAAAAGGCTTGCCTCAAATCATTGTTGACTTGTCACACTAGGCTATAATGTTACAAGTTATAGAATACGAGTGATAAAGTAGAAAAGAAAATGAACTTCATGGACAGGATAACCTAAATACATGTGATTGGATGGAAATTATTTTTTACTGTCCCTCAAGTGTTTTCCGTGAGGAAAAACTGGTGACCAATAGGTACATTTCAATGAAATATAAATATATGACAGCTGCGGAAGTATACCTGTCTTGACGGAAGCAACCTTGCAGTCCATCCTTCGATATCCTTGACACCAATATCAAACCGAGGACTAATCACACCACACTTGTTCAGCCTTCCATTGAGCTCAACTACGATTTTGCCAGACCTATGATCATCAACAAATTCGAATTCCCCAATATATCCTGCAAGGCATTATAGACTAAGCACATAAAATGTCAAAAAAAATGAAAATAATAATAACCCACACAAGCATTAGACATACCATGCTTTTGCATCACAATGAGAAACTTGATGATCACTTTTGAAGAAGGCCTAATCATGACCTGGCGCTTTCCCCTCTTCTCAGCATTGTACATGCTCTTGAGAGCATCATTCAACACACTAACTCTAACCATTTTTAGCAATAATCTGTATTAAAGTATAATCAAGCAGTTAGGAATTAGGAATTAATCATTATAGACGTATGTCAAGGCATGTAGCAACTAGCAAGAATAACTCCACGAACAAACACACCTCAAACCATTACACAAGTCATTTTAGCTCTCAGAATGATCCATTAAAGGAATTCAGCATAGAGGAAAATAGGCAATAAATATATTAGGGCAGAAAAAACCTTTATGCTACTCGAAAACGCCATATTCATAAACAATCTAAATAAAGCTATAAAACGCATTCCTAGGTAAAAGGTGCAAACATGCACGCATAAACACTATAGATGCAGAAACCGACCATAGATACAAATACACTCAACACATCATAGCAGAAAAAGCAATTCAAAATTATAAATGAATATGGTATACTATTTAAAGCCTAGAAAGGTTTCAACATGTATTCGTATCAATCAAAATGAGTTTTCATTTTGCAACATGAAAAATAGGATAACCGGAAGCTTATAGGATCACCGCGTTGAGTTCGTCTTTGATACATCCAACTTCTATCCATATTACTCATTTATAGATGCCTATATATTTACATTCACATATATTATCATGATTTTCAAAGTAATGTATAATAAAAGGAAAATGAAATCAAAAAAGTTCCCTATATAAGCAAAGACAACACATTTAAATAAATAAACACTAGTAAATACTGAATTTCGTGCCACTCCTCGACTCTAACTTGGGTGAAAATGGGCAGAGTTGTAATTTGCATAAACAACTCTGTAATTTGCATGTACCGTAACAACTAATCAGAATACTCATCACTACTTAAGTCAAAAGAAACAAACAACAGAATCAAATGTAATAAAGTTTAGAATAGGATAGTTTCACCTAAGATAAATTTAGGATTCTATAATTTCATTTTACTGTTACTGAACTTTGATATACTGTCTTACTTATTTATTTTATATGCTGATGATTTCCAGTTTTCCATCATAAGCTTCTCTATTAGAATCTTGATAGAAAATGGGATAAGTTAGCTTCATTATAATGGGGAAGGAAACTCATTCTTAAGTTAGCTTCTCTATTTAGTAAAAAGCTTTTACTTTATTAATTCTTTTCCTTTTCGCCTTTCTCCTCTTTCTCCTCTCTCTCCCTTCCCTAGTCCACCATTCTATTGTCTTCTTATTACTGAACACTAATGAAAGTTTTATAGACTTGTTTTTAGGAGTTGTATACTATGTCCAAACTTCAATCTAGTTTATAGAAAAACAAAAAATTTACTTCAAAAAAAAAATAAAAAATAAATAACAGAAATGAATTACCAGTCACAGACGGAGGAGGCAGTCACGGATGGCAACGACGCTCTGCTGCGACGGCGACGGCGATCCGCGATTGCTCCGGAGACGATGAGATGCGCAGCTGATGAAGAGTGTGCTTCTGCTATTGCGGAAGAAATATAAAGGAGACATGGAAGTATGCGGGGGTTAGGGTTTTGTGTGCGTATGGGCCGTTTGGGTCGATTAACGAAGGGGCTGCAACAATATTTGTATTGGATCTATTAAGAGTTTGTATAATGGATCTGTTTTCTACTAGCCTGTTGAAGTGCAATCGTTATATCCTACACCACGGCGCACATAGCACTGTGCGCCGCGCGCCTCCCAAAACGACGTCGTTTTGGAGTAGTGTTGGGAGGCGCGGTAGGAAGTTACTGAGATTATGTGTATTTGTTCACAACGTTATGTGTATTGGTTCATACAGTTATGTATATTTTTTATACAATTATGTACATTCTTTTTATACAATTATGTACATCCGAATCAGAAAATTTGTGTGTATTATGTTAAGAGTTGATGTGTATTATGTTAAAAGTTTATGTTTATTATGTATTATGTTAGATTATGTGTATTATCTTTTAAAAAGAGTATGTATATTTTGTTATATAATTATGTACATTCATGTATAACATTATGTGTATTCTAGTATAATATTATGTACATCCTTGAACAGCGGGTTTTTTTTTTTTAAGAAAAAACTACTGCCATTCACTGGGGCGGGAAATTTCAAAAAAAAAAAAAATTAAAACGACGTCGTTTTGCATCTGGGCGCATAGTGCAACGCGCGCCGTGGTGTAGGATATAAATTGTCGTTGAAGTGTTGAGCAATCGTTATGCTATGGATCCGTGTCCAACATGTATTATAGACACGGTAACGATGCTGTTAGTGGCACCATTATCTTCCACTTTTTAAAAAAAATTTCAGACTGCTTCGTTATAGGAGTATATGTTCATAATTTTATCACTATATGTTCATAATTGTAAGTTCATAATGTCAGAGCTCTGTGTTCATAATTTCATAACTGTACATTCATACTTCAATAACTGTACATTCATAATTCTGTAACTGTACATTCATAATTCAATAACTGTAAATTCATAATTTTCGAAGCTCTATGTTCACAATTTTAGAGCTCTATGTTCATAATTTCATCACTATATGTTCATATTGTAAGTTCATAATGTCAGAGCTCTGTGTTCATAATTCTATAACTGTACATTCATAATTCCCTAACTGTACATTCATAATTTTTGAAGCTCTATGTTCATAATTTTATCACTATATGTTCATAATGTCAGAGCTCTGTATTCATAATTCCATAACTTACATTCATAATTTCATAATTGTACATTCATAATTCTATAACTGTACATTCATAACTCCATAAATGAATAACGCCGTTAAGTGCGAGGTAAAAGTAAATTTTTGTTTTAACTAGAATGCCGCGCTTTCTCTAAAAACCACGTCGTTTTTAGTAACTGAATGCTGTTAGCTATCGGGATTTCCATCAATTCTTCAATAGCGGCGGGGCAATTTAGTCCGATTCAATGATGTGCACAACAATTGAAGCACAAAGTACAACTCGCATTGACAGAAAGAGAGTATTTTTTTTAAGGATATGAAACTATTTCTCACACTAAATTTATAGACAAATATTTGTAAATGACAAATTAACTTTTTCATTAATAACTAAATGAGGGATCGGTGATGAAATAATGGCTCGAACTAGCCCAAATAGATCTTCATAATCCAATCCAGTCACCTTAGTCCAATCCAATTGTAGTGCTCCGGGCTTTCATGAGGGTCTACCCTGAAGACCGAATTAATTTCCAGCTTTTAAAGTACTCCGGACTTTTATAAGATTCTCAAAAATGTCGTTAGGAGGCCTTTCGAACTCAATCCACTCACAACCCTTTAAGTATTTGATTATCATTTCAATATTTGAACCAAACACACCGCAAGGTACTCACACAAGTCATGCATATAGACATTGGGTTTCATTCCACTATTGGATGATTTGATTGTCTTTCTAGTTAATAGTGGTTGATTGAAATGTGAACATTTCATCTAAGGCTCTACAGAGTACAAATGATGGCAATTCATGTTGGGAACATTTAAGAGGCATTTATTGAGTTTGTCTCTATTTACTTGTCGCTTGACGTATTAACTCATCTTTTCTTACCTTTTATACTTCAACCCTTTTTACAAGACTTGAAGTGTTATATAGAGGGAATAAGGGGAGATCCTGACGCGTGTGGTTAGAATTTGCACTCCCGTTATTCTTTTACCCCCTGTTTTTTGTGGATCATTTGACCACCTTGTCCGTGCTACAATCATAACATATGAACGTGTGTATTGCTCCCTTTTTTCTCTCCATCTTTGTCGCACTTCTCCGTGACTGGTAAGGAATGGACAGTTATAGCTTGTACTATATAACCCGTCATTCCCACTTCACTCAAACACACGCATAATCCATCTTTTTGCTTGAGTTAATCTGAACATGTTTTGTCCTGCGAATCTGTGAGTCCTGTCGGGAGCATGCGATACCCTAGTCGCAAATGCTTTTAAGGTAGTGTTCACGAACACGACACTGATATAATCTTCTAATCCTGCTACTCACAATCCAGCCATATCAAAACAGTAGCCACTCCCTTTATGACATTGTTGTTTTCCGGTCAAAGTTTCTGCATTTTCTATCGTAAACCCCATATGACAAAAGGATGGAAAAGTTAATGGTGGAGTTTAGCTATAATAAAATTAGAATAGTGAAATTTTAAGTCGTTTTTCTCTAATGGTAATAGTCTACTTTTAATTTGATCATTATGGTCATTAATAAAACACGCCATGTTCCTATAACACCCTCGTTCAACATTCTCTGTTCATCTCTCTTAAAAAAAAATGCTTCATTTTAATTTGAATGAAACAAAACTAAAAAAGTATATTATTATTATTATTATTATTATTATTATTATTATTATTATTATTATTATTATTATTATTATTATTATTATTATTATTATTATTATTATTATTATTTGAGAAAGCTGGCAACGAGTGGTTCATGGGTCAACATTGGAAATGACTTCATAATGTTTTCTCATGCAATAATTAGTAGATTATAGACGGTATGATTTTAATTAAATATACTTAATTGTATATTTTAAGTCATTTCAAAAAGTTTTCGTGCAATAATTAGTAGATTATAGACGGTATGATTTTAATTAAATATACTTAATTGTATACTTTAAGTCATTTCAGAAAGTTATTTCATATTCAACAGACGAAAACCAAATTAAAAAAAAAAAACAAACAAACAAACAAACAAAAAAACAACAACAACAATCATATATAACTTTCGGGTTGAATCACTGCTTTTTTATCATGAAAAATCACATTTATTAATTGATGACCGCATTAGATAGGTAAACTTCGTTTGTATAATAATCTGCAAATAAAACCACGTAAGAGTACTCTATGCAAGGAGCTGAGTTCAGCATAGAAAGTGTTAACAATAATTGAACATATGACTATCATGTATGAGAATTATACTTCAATTACTATAAATTTATGTGAGATGTAATAAATATATTAGAATAAAATATAAAAATTTGAAAAATAATATTTAATGTTATACCAATCTTAAGTTGATACGCAATACGCATAGCTTTATAGTTAAATTCAATACTAAGTGTAGCCAAAATAGGATTGGTTAGTTGCTCTTTGTTTTCTTGTTGTACAATAGTTAAACTTTTTTTAAAAAAAAAAAAAAAAAGAAAAAAAAAGAAAAAAAAAAAAGAAAAAACTAACGTTGGATTAGGGCATTGGTCTAACTGGTTGGAGATGAAAAGCTTTGTAAGTTTTTATTTTGACATTTGAATGAAATATTTTTTGTTAAATTTTATAAATTAAAGATCTCAAATTGTTTGAAGGCATACATTGTACCCCTCTATAAAACATATCCTAACAATACTCTATCATTGCAAATTTAAAATCTCTTCATAATCGTTCTCCCTTTTTATGTAACATTTTTTAAAGTTAAATTTGTAGTTCATACACACTAAACTCACGTGCAATTGTGACAACAAAAATTTATATTATTAGACATTTATTTTTAGTTAGGTCAATTTCATTTTATTGAGTTTTTGACTGTGTTTGTATGCCATTTGTATTATATTATTTTTATTTTTTTTATTTAGTATATTCGACTCATAAATATTATAATTTCTCATAGTTTAAACGATACCGTGAATTGTAATTAAGATAAATAATTTTTTATTTTTTATTTTAGTGTGAGAGAAAAAAAAAAAACTAAATATTTAGGATCATATGGTAAATATTATATAGGGTGGCCTGCACGGTACTTATGGATGATTTTTTTTAAACAAAATTTTCTTCTTTTTTTTTTGAAACAATATTTGGATAATGATCTAATTGGTTGACTAGGCTGCCAAGTCAGAGGAATATAATATAAACATTTACAATATCAGTTGACATATTCATGTAAATATATAAAATATATTTCTCAATTCATATTATTATATTGCCATTAGGTTTAATTAATTATTCATAGCCCAAAAACAGCAAAAAGAAAATCTTAAAAGTCAATGAAATAATACGTACAATACCTAAAGTACAAACGTCTTTGAAATTAAAGTCTATATAATTCAACATAATAATAACAACAACTTTACCCTATTAAGGAGTGGTTATGCGAATGTAGCATGATTTTCGTACTAGAATGTCACGAGTTTGATTATTCCTAACATTATCTTAGTTAAGTCCGTTACATTGCATGCATATGATCTTTTTTTTTTTTTTTTTTTTTTGTGCGGTACGTTTACTTCTTTGTGTGGTTGTGAACATCATTTACCCAACGCACACTCTTAGATAATGATTGCAGGTAGTATGTAATAATAGTATTAGATGCAATTTCGAGGTAACTATCAAGTGTTTGAGGGATCAACAAATGTATACCGATATTGTGAGTAATATTCTATAAGTTTGTAATTGTGAGATGGATATGCTCTTAGAGTCCCAAATATATAGTTCATGTTTTAAGAGAACTAAAGGCAGACGCGCTAGCAAACCTCCCCATCCATCAAATTAAAGAAGGGGTACGGTTTACACTTTTCACATTAAGATGCCATCTTCTCCACCTATCTCTATCGTTTTCTTGAGGAAGACTAACTCGTGATCAAACATTCGAGACAAGCAAGTCATTGTAGTTGTTGATAACTAAGTGTTTATGCCAGTGTCTCCCTTTCTTCTACATCCAATAAAAAAAAGCTATACAACCTTATTAAATTACAAATATATCTCTATTACTCTCGACATTTATATGAACTCTCCAAATATTTATTACTACTTAATCAAGAGGTTAAATTATGGTGCTGAAAATTTATGTGGGAGAACATATATGAAAAACGACATTAGTTAGAAATCATGGTTAGGTAGGTTGATGATTACACAATTAGAAGCAAATCCCATGTTATTACATGTGTTAAACATACATGTTTTCTTACTATTGTATTTTAGGGAATCGCCTAGCTCAAGATGCTGGCAATTGATACAGAACAAACATTAACTTTTTTATTGACTTCAATTTTAATAATTATATATTCACAACCAAGTCAAACAATTACCATTTGTTCTTTTTTTTTTTTCCCCCTCTAAAGATTATTCAATAAGAAAAAAAAAATATGGTAATTTTGAAGAGGCCGTTGAGGGTCAAAGTTCAATTTATTCATCGAGTACAAAATAGAACAGTTAGAGAATTTTTGGTACTTTAATTTCACATCAATTAAATTTTCAAAAAAATATTTTCAAGAAATATATTTGATAAGTATAACTTTACTGTAAAAATTAATTAGCTTGTTTGGTGTTACTCTGAAAACATAACAATTAAATTACCTAAAAAATTAATTAACACGTTTGATTTTATATTTAGTACATTCATGCCAATATTTAAATTATTAGTGCAATTGTAATTAATTGTCACCGGCACATATTTGTGCCCGATTGGTTTTATATTGTCAAGTATGTTCATATTTAGATTCGAGGTTATAAGTTATAACATAGTCATCCTCGTTATAATGGATGAAATAATTTGTCCAATTTAGACAAAGAAGTCACGTTTATGTCCCCACCCTCAAAAGAGAATCCCATTGCCTTACAATTGGTATAAACATTTAGTTCATAGGTGCATGTCCCTTAAAATGGAGTCTAATGGGTCAACGTGTTTGAGGATATTTTGTTTAATACTCTCGTATATATAAGCAAATTAAGGTTGTAATAAATTGGAATAGGGAGGAATAAGTTCCAATTGTTATATTTTAGATTAAGTTCCACTGTGCGTCAATCATTATATAATGGATCATGATTCATCTTATAAGATGAACCACTGACATAAAGTACGTTTTTAATATACTAAAGATATATTTTGAATACACTAAAAGTTTACCTTTGAAGAGTAATTATTGAAGTACTAAATGTTCATTATTTGGTATATTATGAAATAATGAACTTTCAATACACAAATAATGTAGACTCAATAAATACTTAATAGACCATGGTCCCCAGTATAATTTGCAACTACGCGCATGGTAGATATTGTCCATATTATGTACCATCAGTTAGCATATTCGTTAATAAATTATGTACCTAACACAATTAACATATTATGTCTTTAGTTAATAAACAATATATTTATTACAATTACTGTATTATGTACATGCAGTTAACATATTATGTCATTCAGTTTAATTATATATACATAATTTGTTAACTAGAAGTACATGTTAATTGTAATAAATATATAATTTATTAACAAAAAATACTAACAGTTGATACATAATCCGGACAAAATCCACCATGCCCATAGTTACAAATTATACTATAGACCAACCAAGGTCCATAAGGTAAGGTGGACACTGGTCTATGGTATAATTTGTCAGGAAGTTGGACTCCCTTCCGGAGCTGTTCGATTTCAAACCGTCAATTTTGGATAGTCTAGTTTATCTTTTTATGATCTTTTGTCAAATAGAGTTACAAGGTAAGCTTCATTTAGAGTTCACATATAGTAACTGCAAGTCTTTTTTGTAAATTAAAAGAATAGGGAGAAGTAAGAACATAGTAGAAGTACAATCTTTTTTTTGTCAAAAAAGAAAAAAAAAAAAAACTTTTTTTTTTTTTTTGGCTTTTCTTCCTTGCTCTCTTTTGGCTGGATGTCTGTCTGTCTGTCTGTCTGTCTGGTTTTCTTCCCTGCATTAAATAAACCTGTGACTTCACAACTTCTTTAACAAACAAAGAGAGCAGTTGGAAACCTTGCATCTCCCTGCAGTCGTTACACTTGTGCTTCATATATCATCATCAGCAAAATCTTGAATCTCCAGAAGCCATAGGATCATAGGACCATCAAGGTATCTCTTTCTTGCCTGTAAAAACTAAGGACTGTTACTGTGCCACTACTAATCTGTTCCTGCAACTATCACTGCCATCTTGATTTTTAATTTTTTCTGCATTTTGGCTGTCGTATCATATGCTGTTTGTGTCCTAGGAATTGTTTAGGACTTGTTTGCATTCATGGGTGTTCTCTGATTTCTTCAAGATGATGATGTCTGCATTTTTTTTTTGAATCATTTTGTGAAACAGATTTCTCTGCGGGCATATTTAGAATCTGAAAAAGATGAAGAATGCTATTCTGCCACAAGTTTCATCCCAGATTTACAGTTTTGGTAATGTGTTCTTGAAAAGTTAGCCACTATTGAAGTGGGAAAATCTCATTCTTACATTCTGCTATGTATATGTTCTTAACATTCCAGGCTGCAGTGAGGCTGCAGGTTTCTCCGATATCCCTTCACAGATAGAAAGCGAATTGTGAGTCTGTTTTGATGTTTTCTTTCCTGCAACTCTTCGGTTTGCCTAAAATAATGGTTTAATGTTGTTTTTTGTTTTTTTTCGGAGTTTAATGAGTGGAAATGGAATCTGGGTTTGATTCTGCAAGGGAATATAAACTAATTCCTGAGAGCATTTTACAGTAGTACAAGCTGTCTTGTACTTTGGCTTAACTTCTGGTAATCAGCAAGGCTTAATGATTACAAAAACACAAATGGCCCATGCTTGACTTGTGTTTGTTTTAAGATTAGATTATTGTTGTCATTTTCTGCTAAACCGAATAAAAAAACTGGTCAAAATTTCAAATAATTGAGACAGGAACAGAAGTATTAAGATAAAGATTGATGATGGAGATGAGGCAATTGTTTAATAAGTAGTCTGCAATTTTTGTCAACAGAAACGTCTTCAGTGGCGACGGCTTCTGTATCGATTCAAACTTGTATACTAATCAAGACAACCTTGGAGGGGTGCTGGCTTTCTGTTCTGAATCACAAATCATCTATCAGTCTGGTAGCCTGTCGTTTTCGAGTTTTATTAATCCATTTGGACCATGATTTTATCCTCAGCAGATCATCAGACCTTACCTACTGCTGCCTAACTATATTTTATGTGTCTGAATTTCAGAACCTCCCTCGTCAATGGGTGCGAAAAGACTAGGATGCCCTCTCGGTTTTGATCCCGCTTATGGAAATGTTTCTCGAGAGGGGCTGTTTCATGGCAAGAAGACAAGAAAGCGTTCTTCGCCCGACAGTGCTGAGTCTGTAGCAGAAAGGGCTGAGGAAACCACTCCTCGGATTCGAAGGGGAAGAGTATGTATGCATTTGTGTTGTTCAGAAAATTGAAGCATGTGCTCCATCTCAACTAAAAGACTAAGCTGATAGTTGGATTGCACATTAATGGTTATATGCTCTGATACCAAATTGAAGCATGTACTCTATCTCAACTAAAAGCTTAAGCTAATAGTTGGATTGCACATTAATGGTTATATGCTCAACACAGAATGTTCAGAAGTTTACTAACTGACATTCATTCTTGAAAATGGATAAACTGAAAGGCTTCTGTAAATGGCAGGTGCCTGCAAGGAGAAGCCAGAAGCTGACTGACAAGATCACAGCTCTTCAAAAGCTGGTTTCCCCTTATGGAAAGGTTGCCAATTTTGTATGATTTTCGCGAGTCATATATACTAATTTATGCACATAATTAAACCGAATGTTTTAATCTTATATTGCAGACTGACACAGCTTCTGTTCTTCAAGAGGCTTGCATTTCCATTAAAGCTCTGCAAGATCAGATTCAGGTTCAGATTACTCACAGTACTTAAACCGATCATAGTTTCGTTTAAATCTCTCATAACAAAGCTAACTTTTCCAGTTTCCTGCCTGGTTTTTGTCTGCAGAACTTGTGCATTGCCTCCCATGGCCACTCAGATCAGGTCAGTATTATGGTTCATCATTTCAGACATTGAATGCCCGATTTCTTAACGAAATTGCTTGTGTTGTGTCTGCAGAAAACGAGGGACGAAAATGAAGCCGGGCTGCGGAATAAAGGGCTCTGCCTGGTTCCAGTTTCATTGTCCCAGACAGTTGCAGACCAGGATTTGTTCAGTCAAATGTTGGCCAGCATGAGTTGTTTCTCAGCATAGGAATGCTTGCTTGTTTGTAGCAGTAAATAGAATATGGTAGAAGGCTGTTAAGGGCCTTTTTGTTGTTTTTTTCATGATCTCCAAATGGGAGTGAAATGTTGCCATCTGATATCATATGGAAATTGAGTTTTATGTGCAGAGACAAATGACAAAAACCAATTTCCCCTAAGGAACTTTATCCATTGGATTAAAAGTTTATGCCATTTTATTAGTTATTTTTGAGGTACCACATTTAACAAAGTTTTTTTTTTTTTTTTTTTTTTGCATTCGGTTTAAATAGAGCGTGTAGTGAGAGTTATACTTTATGAGTTCGGCATCTTTTTTTTTTTTTTCTTTTTCTTTTTCTTTAACATAATAGGTATATGATATAACTTGCACTATTTTATTGATTTAGTATGTAAATTATTCACAAGTAACAAATATATTTTAATTTACCAAGACTATGTGGTTTAATGGTACCCGGGTTGGATTTCTATTTGGAAGATTATGAGTTTGAGCCTTAATGAAGGCGTTATTGGTTCTTTGTGTTTCAGTAGGTTGAGAAAGTATATGAACAGATACTACAATGTAATAGAGTCAGTAATTTTCAAAAAAAAAAGAAATATATTTTAATTTATGATAAAATTTGCAACTGTTATCTTTTTTTTTTTTTTTAATGTTACTGACTCTATTACATTGTAGTATCTGTTCAATTGTAACTGTTATCTGAATGTGCTTTTTCGTAGCTGATAAAGAGTTATATAGAGATAAATAAATTGGCTTAACATTCTCACCTTATTCTTAAAATATGAATTCAAATATATATTCTTCAACATGGAAGGGTATGGAAATAAGGACATGGATATAGGGCAGTCAAGGTAGGAACGTGGGGACAGGGAATATACTCTCAGCGCATAGCCATCACTAATGGGATGTTTGATTGGGTGTAATTAAAATTCTTTTTCCATGTAATTAAACATTCATCAAAATTACATTGTTTGGTTAGATGAAATTGTAATTCTCTGCTTTTGTGAAATCAAAATTCATACATCTCCATAGGATTTCCAATTCGGTGGCTACTAGAAAAGAAAAAAATAAAAAATTACTATATTGCCCTTATTATTATTATTATTATTATTATTATTATTATTATTGGTAGGCAATATCCCGACCGACATAGCTTCACCACGACCGAGAAGCCTTTGTCCTTTTCTCCTTGTCTTTGCAGGTAACAGGTCGGGCTCCACGAGAAGAACTCGGTCGTAGACCGACCGGGAGTTGCCCGAGCGGCGGTGTCGACCACCGAGCGGTAGCCCTTTGGCGAACGAGCTGACGACGGACACGTGGCGGCTCTTTACATCGACAGGCAGGGCACCCGGGAGGATGACACGTGGTGGCTACGTGGAGGACATGCCGAACGGCTGGAATCCTGTCCCCGGCATAGCGGCTATAAATACCCACAGTAGCTACAGTGTAAGGGACTTTTGGACGATCGATAGGTTGTTGTTAGAGAATCCCGACCGCAGTCAGTCGGTACTCAGAACAGCCAAGTAGATTGTACTTAGGGCCTTTACCGGGATCAATAAAGATTTTACTTGCTTTAATTGGTCTCGTGTTATTTTATATTGCTTACACAGAGTTAGCAGTATCATTTTGGCGCCGTCCGTGGGGACCCGTGCAAGAAACCAACGTCTTGACGAGCACCCGATCACCATATCGACATGTATCCGTGGGCACACAACAACTTCGCCGACGACCAGGCGGATGCGGCGAGCTCCTCCGACCACTACGCTACCCAACAGCAGGGTCAGACAATGGACCTCAACCTCAATCTCTCACCACCACATCCGTCGAATACATACCCGGCCGCCCAGCAGCCGGTGAATTACATACAACCGGGATACCCACCACCCGGTCTGCCATACCAGCAGCAGCCGATGATGTATCCCGCCCAGTATCCGTACCCGGTCCCACCTCCACCGTACGGGTATTGGCCAGGCCAACCGATGTGCTACACTTCCCCGGTTGGTTATCCACCATATACGCCTGCCTATACAGCTCCAGCCGCCGCCCCTCCAGTACAACCGACCGCACAAGTAGAGCCGCAGCGTCAGTCCACATCCCGGGCTCGACGCTCGGCTCATTCGCGGTTGGGGTCGGGGGGTGCTGATGCGATGGACGCACCAGCTCAGGCCGTTCAAGCAGAGGACCCTGAAGAAGTTGCCCGAGCGGTAGCTTTTGATCGTCTTCGACCGGAGATGCGCCAGCGTTTGGGACCCCAAGACCCGAATCGCGGGCAAGAAGACGTACAAATGCAGGAAGCTAGCCACGAGGCTTCATCCGGATATAGCGGGTCGAGATCTCACCGACGGCGACGCGCTCGGGATACAGCCCAAGCCGCTCAAGCCGCCGAGCTCAACGAAACCCGAGGATTGCTCTACAACCTCCAGGCGGAAGTTGCGCAGCTCAGGAGTGCGTATCCTACAGCACCCCGGCCGACCGATCGACCCTACACCAGACGCCTTTCACAGCAGCGGTAATGGCTCAGCCTTACCCGCTCGACTTAAAGGTCTCGGGAGAGAAGAGTTACGACGGTCGGACAGACCCTGAGGCTCACGTGAATGATTTCTTCAGCAATATGATGTTGAAGGGCGTTTCAGACGCCGTGATGTGCAGGGCCTTCTACTCAACGCTGACCGGTCGGGCGGCAGAATGGTTCCGAACCCTGCAGCCGGGGTCAATCGACAAATTTGAGACCCTGGCGATCAAGTTTGTACAGAAGTTCATTACTTCCAAAGTGGTGAGGAAGTCCTATATGTACCTCGAAAAGGCCAAGCAGCTCGAAGGGGAAAGCTTGACCGACTTCCTCATCAAGTGGAAGGCGGCGGTCGGGGAGGTCGAGCCCATGGATGATGCGACCGCCACGCACATACTTCACATCTCCCTCCGGGCGGGGTATCTATACCAGGATTTTATCCTCCACCCCCCGACCACATATGAGGAGGCCCTCCGAAGGGTCACTGATTACGCCAACGCAGGTGAGGCGAATGCCGTCAAGCGCTCGCAGGAGGTCGGCTCTTCGTCTCGTAAACCGGCCAGCCGGGCAGAACATCGATCGGGAGATGACAATCCCCGACCCCGCACCAGGCATGGCGAGTTTACGGCCTTGAACCGATCCGCAGCGGAGGCCATGCAATACGCCCAGTCCTGCAATCTCATCAAACTTCCCCATCCCGATCGAGACGGCCCTGACAAGAGTAAGCATTGTGCTTACCATCGATGCGCCGGGCATGACACCGAGGAGTGTACCCACTTGCGCCAATTATTGGAAGATTTGCTCAATTTGGGAAAATTGGACAAGTGTGTGGGAAAGAGAGAAGACAGCAAGAGAAATACCGATCGGAGGGATCACAGACGATCTCATCACCGCTCTGATCGGTCGGGCCAGGACCGAAGAGACGATCGAAGGGACGATCGTCATGATGACCAACGGGACCCTGACCCTCCGTCCGGTAGCCGCCCGTCCGGAAAACCTACCATCCACGTCATTTTTGGTGGGCTGGAAGATGCTTCCCGACCGCGGACAAATTGCCCGGTCGCAGTAGTGGATTCCCGGGAGACCGGGAAGAGGCAGAAGATGGAGCCCATAACCTTCACCCTCGAGGACCAACCTACCAGCAGTGATCACGGCATGGAGGCGCTCGTGGTCACGATTGACGTTAAGGGGACGGATGTCCAAAGGGTTATGGTTGACACGGGCAGTAGCGTGAACGTCCTATACTTGGACGTGTTTGAGAAGCTTGGCCTTGACAGGAAGGAGCTGACTCCGGTCGGTGTACCACTGTCAGGATTTACCGGGGCTCTTATCTACCCTGAGGGAAAAATAACGCTCCCGGTCGAGATCAGCACGCCTCCAAAGTCGATCCAAACGGAGCTGGAATTTGTTGTGGTCAACCTTCATTGCGTCCACAACATTATCTTGGGCCGACCCGCCATTATGAAGATCGGTGGGATAATTTCTATGCCTCACCTATGCATGAAATTCCCCACCCCCAACGGGGTCGGCGTGGTCCGTGGCGATGTCCAATCCGCCCGGAAGTGTTACACCCGAGCGGTTAATCGACGTGATTCCGGTCCATCTTCCCGGGTGAACACCATAGCCAAGGAGGAGGCTAAGGAACGGAAGGAGCAGCCTGAGCCTTCCGAAGAGATAGAGGAAGTTCCCCTGTCCGAGGGCCGCCCTGACAGGAAGATTAAGATTGGCCGAGCCCTCACTCCCGAGCTCCGAGCGGAAGTTCTGGCCGTGCTCCGGGAGTATGCCGATATTTTTGCATGGGGCCCGAAGATATGCCCGGGATCGATCGGTCGTTCATTTGTCACAAATTGACCGTCGATCCCGCAGCTAAGCCGGTCGTGCAGAAAACACGACACCTCTCCTCCGATCGCCGCGAGTTTGTAAGAGAAGAAGTCAAAAAGATGGCGGCGATCGAGCACATCCGTCCGGTGGTCTATCCTGAGTGGGTGGCAAATATCGTTCTTGTCCCGAAGCCCCCAGCATGGAGGATGTGCATCGATTTCACGGACCTCAACAAAGCCTGTCCGCTCGACCCGTATCCTTTACCGAGCATTCACCAGATGGTCGACGAGACGGCCGGGGCCGAGTTAATGAGCTTCATGGATGCCTTCAAGGGGTACCATCAGATCATGATGCACCATGAAGACGAGAGCAAGACAGCCTTCGTGACCCCGGACGGGCTGTATTGCTACCGAGTGATGCCGTTCGGTCTGCGGAACGCAGGAGCCACCTACCAGAGGATGGTCAACATGCTCTTTGCTGATCTGCTGGGCCGAACGATGGAAGCTTACATCGACGATATGTTGGTCAAGAGTCGGGACCGATCCGACCACACTCGGGACCTTCGGGAGTGCTTCCAGATCATGAGGAAGTACCAGTTACGGCTGAACCCGACCAAGTGTACATTCGCGGTTCAGACCGGCAAATTCCTCGGCTATATGATGACTAAGAGAGGAATCGAACCTAACCCGGCCAAAGTAAAAGCGATTCTGGACATGCAGCCACCTTCCACCGTTCGGGAAGTCCAGCAATTGACCGGTCGGTTGGCAGCCCTCAACCGGTTCCTCTCCAAGCTAGCCGAGCGCGCTTTACCTTTCTTCAAGGTATTGCGAAAAGTTAATGGATTCGTCTGGGACGAGGAATGCCGAGCGGCTTTTGACGAGCTGAAGGAGTAT